ACACTTCTTGGATTCCTTAATAATTGCTTATAAAGCCTCAATGTGTATAATTTATATCACTGATTAAAGAGTTTTAATTTTTAAAAACCTCCCCCTACATGACAGCCCCTTTTTCATTTGGATGGCCATTCCCTGGACTTTTTTCAGCTCCATTAATCTTTCTCCATGTGGGCCACATCCTCAAGTCTAGAAATGGCACTTTTACAACAAGGGAAAATAACATTTCGTTGTCAGTCCCCACATTCCCCCTGCTGCAGACAGACCGTATCTTCAGGAGCTATACGTAATGATCCTCAGACCTATGAGATCCTTTACCCACATCACGGTCCACTCACTCAAATAGTTCCCTTCTCCCTAAATGGCTTACATACGCCACTGTAGTCACTTTAATGCACGGGACATTAAATCTCTCAGAAAATAATAGCCCCAGGGAAGAAGGGAATTTATCTTGTCCACTGATAAATGAGCGAATGAATGAACTCGGTTTTCCATTTCTTCTTGCTCAACAGAAAAAGAATTAAACATGTTTCTTGAAGGGTATCATAGGGGAATGCCCACCACTGGAAAAGTTTCAACACATACCCTCTGCTAGGAGTAAGTATTTCCGCACTGGGGAGGAAGCTGAGCCAAATGAGCTCTAAAGTTCCTGTCAACTCCTAGACTCCGTAACTGGATGAGCTCCACACCTTAAGAGTGGACCGGCTACATAAAGCCTGATTCCCAGGTAGAGTAATTACCATGCTCTGTTTAAAATAAAAATAAAAGCTGCCCTGGGACTTGGATGCAAAAATACTAACTCATCCAAAATGTGGACACATCCCTGGGGGAGAAATGCTCTTGCTAATCGTCAGTTACAGGCTGGAAACCACAGATGTGCTTCAGGGTCTTCTCGGAGCCAAGCCCAAAACCACCTGTGGGAGATGGAGAAACTAAGGGAGAAGATTAAGACGCAAATAAAGAGTATCACACTAAACTGGAGCTTTTGTTTTCTAGCCAACAACAAATCCACTTAAGAAACATCTGAATTTAGCCTTGAGGTTTAAATGGTTACAACTAAATATAAAGTAATCCCTCCCTTATGGGGGGGGGGGGGAGATGCCTGAAACCACAAATAGTAAAAGGGTGTCCCAAAATTCACGCAAGAAGTAATTTTGATAGAAAACACAGGTTTATAATTAAAAATTGTAACTTTTTTATTGATTCCTAAAGTATACAGTATAGGGTTATGTATGGAATAGCATATCGGGTAAAGGCCTCCCGGCTTTGCTGGCACATACGAAACCTTTTGTTGAAATTTTCCATGACCGAATTGTGGCTGCTCAGGCAATAACAGTTAATGGTGCTCGCTATCTCGACATGATAATCCAGTTTTTGTGCCGTGGAGGCCATTTATCCGATATGCTATTCCATACATAACCCTATATTGTATACTTTATGAATCAATAAAAAAATTTACAATTTTTAATTATAAACCTGTGTTTTCTATCAAAATTACTTCTTGCGTGAATTTTGGGACACCCTTTACATACATACCTGTGATAAAGTTTAATTTATAAATCAGGCACAGTAAGAGATTAACAACAATAACTAATAATAAAGTTGAACAATTATAATAGTATACTGTAATAAAAGTTATGCAAATGTGATCTCTCAGCATGAATTTCTTTTTCCTTCTTCACAATTTCATGGGTAGAAGGTTTGTTCTTACAGTAGATCTTAGCAACCTCAGCATAAGATGGTTTTTCTTTCCATATTGAAAACTTTCATCCTTTCGCTTAAAGCAGGGGTGGGGAAGGTCCAGCCCACCAGCCTAATAAGGCCTGAGAAATCATTTGGTGTGGCCCTGCCAAGGCAGTAGGGGTGAGTTAATTAAATGTTGGACCAAATATAGCAGACTAATTTTTAGTTGACAATTTTGTATGGCCTGCGAATGATGTTATAAAAATCCAAATGGCCTTTGTCAGAAAAAAAGGTTCCCATCCCTGACTTGAAATCACTTCCCTGACTTAAAGGAATCACTTTAAGGTTTCTCTGTGCATATCTGAATGCTTTGGGGCCATTATTAGGTAAAATAAGGGTGACTTGAACACAAGCACTGTGGTACAACAGTCAGCCTGATAACTCAGATTGCTACTGAGTGACTAAGGGGAGGGAGCATACACACATGGATAAACTGGACAAAGGGATGATTCACGTCCCTGGGCCGGACTGAGCAAATGGCCCATCATCATGCTATTCAGAACGGCGGGCCAATTTGAAACGTACGAATTGCTTATTTCTGGAATTTTCCACTTAATATTTTTGGACCAAGGTTGACCATGGGTAACTGAAACCTCAAAAAAATGAAACTGTGGATAAGGGGGGGACTACTGTAATCACTTCATAAGAGAAATGATTACATTTGTCATATAAGGATTTTTGCCCAGTAAAAGGTCATATTTATACCTGGGATATCACATTAAAATGTTCAAATTCAAGAATGTCTAAAATTGAGGGCAAATTATTCTGAATGAACTTTCCTTCCATCTGGATGAGGGAGGCAGTTTTCAGGGAACGGAGATATGCTCATGTTTTCCTAAACAACTTTTTGTGAAAGATCAAATTCTAAAGAAATAACTAGAGAAACTCCATTCACACACAGATCCACTTCCTGAGTGATTATTTTCTCTCCACACTCTTTCTTTTGTTCTAATCGTAGAATAGATAAGGGAACAGAAGGGGTAGAGAATTCTAACAAGGATGCAATGTAGATCTCTCAGGGTTGTGTTTGGAGAATCTGCACGTACTGGGGTTGTGTAGAAGACAAAATGCAGACACTACACTCAGGACATTTACAGAGTGAACAACAAAGGGAAGCCGTTCAATGATTCCTCGGGAATACATGAAAAGACTTCAACTTTGTAGTCAATTCCCGATCACCCATACCACAACCCAGTCAAAGAAAGAAGTCTTCTGTTTTTACACTGTAAGTAATTTAATCTTAATTCCAGTGACAAAAGGGAATGTGCAGAGAAAACAGTCACGTCCTCCGTGGACACACTTTTAAAAACCTCTATTATTTGCATGAGCGAGGTCTTCCGCAAGGATTCTGTGGGATTAAGCTCACATCTGGTTGACAGACATGGTGTTGGATATGATTGTGGCCACACAACTAAATCTTAAATCCACATACTGTTCCTATTTAACTGGCATATATGAACTAACTAATTTATAGACAATGTGCAGCAAATTATTTCTTCCACCTCCCCATGCCTCAAGAATGCACCAGCAATAGGTATTCAGAAAAAAGACACCCCCCCCCACACACACACACATAACATTGCATTCCCAGATGCTCTCCAATTATCTAGAGTAGATACTGTTATTTTAGTTATTGGAATTTGTGCCTTGGAAATAAGTAGCGTGGGGGAGGGAGTAATTTCACCAGACAAACTTGACCTCTCTGGACCCGTTTTCTCACAAGAGAGAGAAAAAAAAAAGATTAGCCCAGAGACACAAATTCCCTCAATAACAGCAATCTCTGACCACTAATTATCAAGAGTACAGTTTGTGTGCAAGTAATCTGAATTCTTAAGAGTATGTCATTAACTATTCACTTTAAATGCCTGAAAGACCCATAGGTGCACTTCAATATGACCACTGAACATTTTCTGACCACGGAAAATGTCTCTGAAAACATCTCGGCGGCGGAATCACCAAACTGAGTTAGAACACGCAGAGGAATCCCCCGAATTTCACGGGGTGGGGGTGGGGGTGGGGACGGGGGAGTGTGTGTATCGGAGCAGGAGTTAGGAGAACCAGCCGGGTGTCTGAGAGCACACAGCCGGCATTTCCGAGTTGCTGAGTTTCTAGTATCTCCTAAAGACTTCTGTCTATGTCTACAAAATTGCTCAAGCGACCACCTGCAGCTACACAGTAACGAGTAGGCGAAGAAAAGAAAATGGAAAGAGAGCGGGTAGAGCCGGAAAACCCTCGCGGGAAGTGCCCCCAAAGTCGGTGGGGCGAAAGTGGACTTTGAATACCGACAAAGAAATGGGCAAAGAGAAAGAAAGAGGACTCCGCCTTGCCCAGCCCACTCGGCTCCTTTCACGAAAAAGGAAAGGCCGCCGCCGCCCCTTCTGCCTTTCACCCGGGATGCGGAGCCCCGGCTGAAAACCGCACCCTCCCAAGGCCCAGCCGGGCCGGAGTCGCGGCCCCTGCCCCGGCCCGCAATCCCGGGGCTGGAGCATCCTCCTCCCTCCCTCGCTCCCTCGCTCCGGGCCGAGGGGCAGCCGATTCTCCAGGCACCCGCACCCGCCCTCCCTTCCTCTTCCTCGCGCCCCCGCCTCCTCGGCTCGCCGCCCCCAGCCTTCCATCCGCAGAGCATTCTAATACCTCCACCCACCCGACAAGGGGGCCTTTTGAAAACTTTGTGTGTAAATGCAGGGCTTTTGTGCACATCCTGGGCAGGGCCCGGTCACCCGGGTGGATGCCTGGGGGTGTCCGGGATCTCACAAAGCACCGGGGAAACCACCACGCAAACCCCACCCCTTGATTTTGGACCCGCTTCTGCCACCGAGTGACACCCGGGGCTTGGCTAAGCATCCCCATGCCCGGCCGCCCCGGGAACGGGAGGAAACCCCCGCACCCAGTGCCGTTCTCCCGCTGTCACGAGGGGAAAGGTGTGCGCGCGGGGAGGGGAGGCAGCCGCGGAACACCGTGGCTACAAGGATCTTCCTAAAGGGAAAATAGGAGAGAGGTCCCTTTCCTCCCACGTCCTGGGAATCGGGACGCACCGAGGCGAGACACTGTTGCATCACGCCATGGCCAAGCCTGGGGGTTCCTCGCCCTCGCCTCAGCCCCAGACGCGCGCCCAAATTCATGCACACACTCACAGCCACCGCAGCCCCCGTCCGAGCCCCCGCCCGGGCCCCCCGATTCCCGCCGGCACCCGCCCCACAGCAGGGACCACCCCGCGCCGGAGGAGGAGCGGGCCAGGGAAACGAGGCCCCTGCACTCACAGACGGTCTCCCCACGGCCACGGCCATCGCGGCTGCGCCCTGGCTCCGGCTGCGCCCGGCTGCTCCCCGCCAACACTGGCTGCTGCTCGGCTCCGGCTCCGGCTCCCGCTCGCCTCCCCCGCGCCTCCCTCGCGGCTGCGCTCTGCTCGCGCCCGGCTCCCGCGCGCGGCCAGCGGCGTCTGCTCCCTGCACGCCGCCGCCCCTCCAGCTTTATTAGAGCAACATGGCCACTCGCCTGGAAGGCACCATTTGCTTCCCCAGAAAGGGGGGGAAGCCTTCGCGCCGGGGCTGAGGTCGACGGGAAGGAGTGTGGTGGGCGGGCCCCCAGGCTCAGACCGCGAGGCTTGCCCTCCGGGCATGTAACCGGGGCCCCCCCGAAGCGACCCTCTCCTGGGCCACCAAGACCCTCCCAGCCGGTGGACTGGCCGCCACCACCCGTTCCACCACGTGCTGGAGCCCGAGGAAAGCCGGGGCGCGGAGATCCGAGCCTGGGTCCCGCCGTGCGCTCGGCGGAGCGGACCGCTGAGCCGCTGGCGAGAGCGGGGAGGGACCCGGGGCAGAAAAGTCCTCGGGGACCGCGTCTCGCGCAAAGCTAGCCCGGGGCAAGCACGCGCCACCCGGAGGAACAGGCTCGGAAGGGGTGCGGGCACCGGGGAGACATGGGCGACCGAGGGGGGGCCTGGGCAGCCCCCCACCGGGGAAGAGTTGCTCCTACAGAGATGTGTTCTGCAGGGAGAGGCTAGAAAGCGGGGAGCTGGAAGCCGGGAGCGGTCGCTGAGACATGCGGCCGGGTAGGGGACCTCAGGGAGAGGAAGAGGCCGCAGCAGTTGCTGATGTGGACGGCGCACCACCGCCGGCTGGAGAGGAACCAGAGGACTGCCCCGCTGGAGAATTCGTGCCGCTGTGGACGGCCCAGAGCGTAGGGCCGGGGCCTCCCCGGGTGTAACGGGGCCCGCCGGCCACACGCGGGGGCTTAGCCGACCTTATGTGATCGCTGGAGACAGACCCGGCGACTCGGAGGCGCGCGCGGGGGTGGCGGCTGGGGTGGCGGCAGCGGCGCCCGGCGGGTGACTGGTGTCTGCGCGACTCCGGGCGCGTGGGACTGGGAAGCGCCCCCGCCGTAGGGAAGGATTTTTTCCAACAGATGTTGGGGTACGTGACCGTGTGGCCGGTGAAACTCAGTTCCATTGCTTGTCCGGCGGTGCGGCGCCGGGGCCAAGGCCCGACGGCGGGGTGTGACCGAGGTGCTGTGGATTCCCCCGCAGAGAGGGGGCCACGACAAGGTGACTGAGGATAGCGACCGGTCCGGGAAGGGAACCAGTTGGATAGAAGAGCAGGGGTGTGGGGAGGCGGGGAAGGACTATGATCAGCCCACGGGAGTGCGCCCGCGGGGAAGTCCACGGCCTATGGAATTAGGTCAAAGACAAGCCACCTCTTTAGACCGGATGCCTCAGAGTCTGACCTGAGACTTCCAGGAACTAGGTTTCTTGGGGGCCTTGCGTCTGCCCCTCCTGCCATTTCGGGGGTGGGCGGGGAGGCAGGATTCAAACGCGCCCGGCCGCCTTGGGCAGAAGGTGAGTGGACTCCGGGCGGGGGTCTAGCTGCTGGGTTGCCCCAGGAGGGGATCGAAGGGCTGCAGGCCACCCAGGCTGGATCCCACCGGCAGGATGCAGGTGGGACCCTCGGGGATGAGAGTATGACTCACGGACTCTCCGTGAGTGAAAGACTCCGACAGGGGACCTCTTAGGTCTGTGGGCGGACTCCGACTTGCAGACACTAACCTCTTCCGTTTTGACCAATTTCTGCCTCCTAGTCTTCAAACCTTTTGAGACATGGTCCACCATTTTATGTGAAGCATACAGTATCAGCGGTTCTCAACCTGTGGGTCGCGACCCCTTTGGCGGTCAAACGACCCTTTCACAGGGGTCGCCTAAGACCATCCTGCATATCAGATATTTACATGACGATTCATAACAGTAGCAACATTACAGTGATGAAGTAGCAACGAAAATAATTTTATGGTTGGGTCACAACATGAGGAACTGTATTGAAAGGGCCAGAAGATTGAGAACCACTGCGAGTAGATGCTCAGTAAGTGTTGAGTTAAGATGACCACGTGGATGGCTGCAATGCAAAGGGAGGAGGAAGGGAAATACTTCCCTCTGCTGCTCTCTGTATGTTGGCATTTTGTTCCTCTCGCACAGGGAGGATCAGACAGCCTCAGTGCCCGTCAACATGAGGTCTCGGGTAAACGCTATGAAAATACTACTCCGCAGGCTCCCAACCCGATGGAATGGTGATCGCGAACCAACTCGCCATTCTGTGTTCTGTTGACCAGACCAGACTGCAGGACTTAATTAATTGTTTTATTTTTATTTACTTTGTAAATGCTTATGTTGAAAACAGCTGGTTAGATGTTTAGGTAAGAGTATGAATTCCCTATCTTGGTGGGCAGGTTAGTTTATTCTCGTCGTAAAAGCTTAAAGTCACCTATTCCATGATCTCAACTGTTTGAAGAAACACTTTTAGGACAAAATCATTACAGTTTACCCAGGTTCTGCCTGATTTTTTCACTAAGTAGGAGCAATGCCTTAAATTTCCACCTCCCTGACTTTTGGGGGCAGATAGGCATAAATATATTTAATAAAAATATTTAATTACTGTTGGGCAATAAAGGCTATTTGAGAATGTCAGTTTTCATTCTGACGTTATTTAAACATCATTCTACACAGTGGTTCTGAACCTTCTGGCCCTTTAAATACAGTTCCTCATGTTGTGACCCAACCATAAAATTATTTTCGTTGCTACTTCATAACTGTAATGTTGCTACTGTTATGATCGTAATGTAAATATCTGATATGCAGGATGGTCTTAGGTGACCCCTGTGAAAGGGTCGTTTGACCGCCAAAGGGGTCGCGACCCACAGGTTGAGAACCACTGTTCTACAACCATTCTACCCAAGTTTAAAACCACTTCATAGCTATGTGACCTTGAGCAAATTATTTAACCTTTCAGTGCTTCAATTTCCTCATCTTTAAAATCTATTTAATAATAGTTCCTCCCTTGTAGGGTTACTAAGGGGTTAAATTACCTTTTTTAAAAAATATATATTTTATTGATTTTTTTATAGAGAGGAAGGGAGAGGAATAGAGTTAGAAACATCGATCAGCTGCCTCCTGCACACTCCCTACTGGGGATGTGCCCGCAATCAAGGTACATGCCCTTAACCGGAATCGAACCCGGGACCCTTCAGTCCGAAGGCTGATGCTCTATCCACTGAGCCAAACCGGTTAGGGCTGAAATTACCTTTTTAACTCTGCGCCCAGCACTGTGCTAAGAACTAAACATTTTAAAATGAGGATGCCTCTTCGACTATTAATCAGTGCACAGTCTGCTGAGAGATCTTTAAACAACGCTGATAAGTAATCCAAATCCTAGAAAAGATCCTTGAATTAAGGGAGTTTAAAGCACAGTACAAGGAGCTATTCACTCTCCTGTCAGAACAGGAAAGGCTTCACCAAGGAAAGCGGAACAGGGAGGAGAGCAAGGAGGACATCCCAAACAAGGGGATGGGATGGGTTCCGCGGTCTCATGGGTGATGGTGCTGTCCCAGGGACAGGTGCCCTGGCATTGCCGGAGTAGGATCCTTAGAGGGAGCTTGGCACGTTGGGGAAAATACGGCCCTGAACTCCAGGATACGGCCCTGAACTCCAGGTTATTACTTATTAGCTATGTGACACTGAGCGAGATACTAGTAGCCTCTCTTCATCTCATCTTTTTCTGTTGTGAAATAGGGTAGTAGCAGAGAGTCCTGATGGAGGACATGTTTGCCAGATCCACTCTTCATCTTCCATTCTGCCCCCAGGAGCTTGAACTCAAAGGGCTTTCCTTCCCTGACTTTCCATTTGAGGTCGGGCAATGGTGAGCAACCACAGTACCACAAAGAGAGGAGTGTTGGTGTTTATTCCCCCAGGCTCCCTTGCGATGGCACCATTGCAGGCTGGCTGCATTCCTCAACCAAAGGTCAGTTACTTCCCTAGGATAATCCAGGGTAAACTCCTCGTGGTTTTGCTACGTTTATCCCACACCCTTGCAAAGAGTCATTTTATGAAACTCTACTCAAATTACCCATTGAGAATGTACCATCTCATTTCTGCCAGGACCTTAACAGATTCAGTCCTTCACAGAATTGTTTTGCTCAGAGTTAACTGGGAAAACATAGGTATGCTATAATTAGAGTGACCTATAATTTATTGTCCAAACTTGGAAACTTTTGAGATTGAAAAAAGACGGTTAACGTATTAAGACAATAGGCAAAAACCAGGACTTATGGTCACTATAGCTATTATTACAAGACAAGTTAGGCAATTGAGAAGTGATCATACTTATATACATCTTTTACTAGGCTCTGAGTGCCTCAAGGCAAGAGAACTTATTTGTATTTCAGTTTACAGCACAAAGTCTGGTGTAATCAATAAATTTTGAGCTGCATTGGAATGAAATGAGGCTAGGGGCTGGGCTAAAAAAACCTTTATTGTCATGCTAAGGATATGTAAATAATTACTGCTGGTATGCCAGTGGCCTTTTAGTTGTGTTTATTATACCTTTTTCATTAAAATAACTCTCTTTCAGAGAGGAGACAAAATAAAAGTTGAGCTTTCCTTTTTTTTTTTAATCTTAAAGCATGATATCATCAGCACCAACCAGTGGTTTTCATCCTTTTTTGTTTGCCTGCTCGTGGCAAGTATTATTTGATAAACAAAAACCAAATTTTGAAAATGTTTTGGCATTCTTTTAAAAGCAAGAATTCTCTAAGCCTACAAGAAAATATCAATCCTTGTAGGCTTGTGCTACTCTTTAATTCAGGCTCTTTTAAAATCTAATCTCATTAACTAGCGTCCTGTGAAATGACATGCTCCCCGGACTACGATGACTTGGCCTGCCGGTCACTCTCCCTGGCAGCCAGCCCTGGAGCTGGGTCAGTTCGCCTAGTTCTGGCCTCTGTAATTCTCCGGTCATTCCTTTCTCCCTGTGGCCAGTCATTGTGGTGCCAGTATTATTCCTTTTTGTGAGCCTAGAACACTGATACAGCTGAAGTCTCCTGACTCCATTTATGTAGCTGAAGTCCCCCTAGATATTGCCATTGACTTAGAATTATACATACATACATAACTGTATATTATGACAACAATATGACTTGTATA